TCTCAAGCCAATCAGAAAGCAGACAGGCAGTTGTTAATTTGGGGGGGCCTTCTCTCCAGGGTGATCTACCAAAGGTGGTCTCACCCAGCTAGCTGGATACTGACACTGGATCAGGATATAAAAACCATTCGTGGGGAAACCCTTTGTAGGGGAGGATAGTCTCTGAGGGAACTGCTGTGCTAATGCTATGACTTTGGGAAAATGACTCAGTCTCTAAAATTCTTTGCCTTTACTTATAAAATGAAGGGTTAAAATAAGTGACCTTAAGGCCCTACAAAGGTCTGAGATGTCATTTCTAACAGTTTTGTGTTTTCTTCTAGATTGTTCTAAAAAATTCTTGTCAATGCAAGCGTCAAGTATTGTGTGCTCTAAGCAAATACAAACTAAAGTCATCTTCTCTTCCTAAGGAGGAATCTGTACCTCATCACCAGCGTCATCACACACACAACCTACTGCATTCAACAAGTGAGATGAGAAATAGTCAAGGTCAGTGTATCAGGCAGGGTCGGCAGGAGACAGAAGCCACATCTGTTATTTAAACATAAAGAATTTAATACTAACATAAAGAATTGTTAATCAAGTCCCAAAGACTGAAAATGCAAGAAGGGGACACTGAGGTATCCTAGCATGAAGCAGTTACTCACTCCTAGGGTGGGGAAACAAAGAGAAGAGTGGGGATTAATTACAATTTAGAAGCTTGGATAAGGGATCCCCCAGAACTGGCATGCAGACTTTCGTGGTAGGAGAGCTGGCCAGCTGGTGCTGATATCTCAGAAGGAGTGTGATAAGGCTAGTTCTAGGTCTGAGGAAAAGTTGTCAGCTAAAATAAACTGCTGCTACTCAGGCCAACTGCCAGGGCAAAGGCCAGTGCTGCAGGAATGCAGACCAGGAAAACGAAGCAAACTGTTAAGAGGAAGTCCCTTCTTCCTCCTCCAGCCTTCCAGTCTCTTTCTAGCATCCTCTACTGGCAGATTCTAATAGGGAGCAAAGGACAAGAGAAAAATGGTTTGCAAAGTCCCATCCCCAGTATTACCAAGCAGAGCACAGAAGAGCATGTTTGCTTCTGAGACACAACAGCCTTTGAGAAAGATCTGGAGGATGATTGAGCGTATGTCCTTGTGGCAGCACTGAAGGGTACAGGGTCCTTCGTCTAGGGGACCTCACCCCCCCTTTAATCAGACGCTCCAGGTCTATGGATTGGCTTATATCTGTAAACTGGGTGAAAGATGCTAACTCTCCATTGTGATGACTTAAGTCAGGTTTCTGGCTCCAGACATGGAGTTTTTCCTTCTATGTAGTTCATGTAGCATTTAGTAGGCTGCCCATCTATTTTATTCCTAGAGACACTATAATGCATTAGCCACTGCCAAAAATCCTTGTGAGCCAAAACATTCTCTGCTTTATCCTTCACTGCCCATTATGGAGCATATGTCCACCTCGACTCCTGTGGGGTGCCACTGGACCTCAAGTCAGAAGCTCCCACCATCATGAACAGCCTACAGAGAACAGAGATTTTCAAGGATACAAGTCTCCTCCCAGCAAGTTATTTCTCAGTGCCTTCATGAAAAGTGTGTCTTCTGCACAGTCTTAAAGGATGCAGTAGGGGGGTGGGTGTGCAGGTTGCACATAATAAATCCATCCCACCCATCCCTCAGTCCTTATAGTCATAAAGTGCTTTAGCCACTAGGTCCCCCAAACACTTCAGAAATCTTTTTATCACAATCAATCAAAGGTAGTAATCTGATGAATTGTGATGCCAATACATGCCATGGATTACTAGGACCTATATCCTGTTGGCAAGCAGCTGAAGATGTGACCAAGGTAACCCCTGAAGCCCATCTTTGAGAGTTTCTCCCCTGGGATCTCAATTGTAGTAACAATTTCTTTATTAATACCTTTTATAAGTCCAATCAGGAGACAAAAAACACACCAGTTATTTTAGGAGGGCATTTAATATGAGTAATTGTTAACCATATGCTGAAGAACTGAAAAAGCTAAAAGGGGACAGTGAGTATCGAAGTAGCACCAGTAGGAAGCAGCTATCACTCCAAAACAGGAATAAAGAGAATTACTACAGTTGAGAAATTTGGAGGAAGGACTACCATGGAGCTGGGACTCAGATCTTGGTATCTTCGAAGGGGTGCGATAGGCTGGTTCTAAGAGAGTGGAAAACTACAAACTGGAAAAACTGGGGCCAACTATTAATGCCAGAGTGAGGCACTATCACTGTGGTGAGACAGACAAGAAAAAGAAGCACACAGGAAGCGGCAAGCCCTTTTGTCCTCTACCCTTCCACTCTCCCTCCCCTGCTGGCAAAGCCTGCTAGGCAGCCAACTAGCAAAGAAGAAATGTGGTTTAGAGGTTCTGCCCCAGATTCACAAAACAGAATCTAAAGGGGTGCTACGAAGCTGAGGGACAATAGCTTAATAACCTGTAGTCAAGAGGAAGCAGGGAGCAGCTGCCGGGTCAGGGTACCTGATTATCTGAAACTGTTAAAGGATGTGTGCCATTTTGGTCTCCTTTCTGCACAGTGCCTGGCAAATAGCAACGGCTTAATAAATGTGAGCTATTAGAGCTCACGAAACCACTGAGAGTTAAAGAGAAATACCATACTTCAGTGGCATGATTCTTTGCTATTGCTATTGGGATTCCAATATTCAGATGTTCTTGTTCTTTCTCCACTCCCACACAGTGCAAGCAGACAAGGAGAACAGTAGAAAGAAGCAGTGGGAAAGAAAATTAGAGCAGTACTGAGATAATGGCAAAGACACAAAACCAATAGGGATTATATTTTGGGAGGTTAAAAAAAAAATGACACAGGTGAAAAGCATAGTGGATTCATGGGTTTACCTTCTGTCTGGGTACTATTAGAAAGCTGCTTTTATGAGATCTAGATGGTTTTCTTTTTTTCTACTCAATGTATCTGTTGCCTTGGCTTAGGTTAGCAAATAAACACTAGTAAAAAGTTTATCTATATGGACAAAGCTTACCCAGCTAAAGGGAATGGTTGGGTTAGGTTCAAAATAACTGGTTAGGCCCAAATCAGAATGAAAGTGATTGGCACTTACATGGTCTTGGGTCCTCAGCAATGCTTAGCCCAGACTTCCAAAAATTCTACAGGTATCTGGCCTTCCACCCCTCTAAAGTCATACCCAAATGGAGGGGTTATGCGATCATTAAGTTTTCAAAACAAGTCTTAAACTTGGCAGAGCCAGAATTTGAATCTAGATCTGTCTGACTCCAAAGTGTCTCTTAACCACTACAAACATGAGGTTCCTGACTACCCTTACCCACAGATGCTGCCATCATTATCCATGGTCCTCACTCATTTTCCTCTTCCCAATATTATAGATAGATATCTAAGATATCTAATTAGCTGGCCTATAGAAAATTAAAATTTAAGGATATAATGCAATGACCAACGAGTCAACTATTTTCCTGAATGGAGGAAAATTACATTTCTTTAAGAGAATAACATTAACATTACAGTCATTAAGAAATCTTGTGTTCAGGTACCTGGGTGGCTTAGTCGGTTAAGCGTCTGCCTTCGGCTCAGGTTGTGATCCTGGAGTCCCGGGATCGAGTCCCACATCGGGCTCCTGCTCAGCGGGGAGTCTGCTTCTCCCTCTGACCCTCCCCCCTCTCATGCTCTCTCTCTCCCTCTCTCTCATTTTCTCTCTCTGTCTCAAATAAATAAAAATCTTTTAAAAAAATTTTAAAAAAAGAAATCTTGTGTTAAGACTGCTTTACTCACTTAGGCAACCAAGTTGCAAATTCCAGTTACAAACTTTCTTGAAATGAACAATAAATAACAATAAAATCTGAGGTGTCAATAACAAATTGCATAAGACTAGTCTTAATCTTCTCCCACCCACAAACAAGTAATTTTGTGCTCTACAGCAGGCAAGGTGAGGGGCAGTATGGAAATATTAAGACTGGGCTTAGTTTTTAAAGATGGCATATAGTTTGAGAAATTAACAAGGGCTTGTTTCCTTTCTGTAAAGTAATCCTATATATGTGATCAAAGGGTATTTTAAGATTTGTTTTACATAGGCTGATCTATTCACTAACACGCTTCCTCTGTCCCTCTGCTCATGTTGTATCCCTGAAATGCCTTCTATTCTCTATCATACACACTTAACTTCATTTGTTTCTCAAAATACCGATTCTTCAAAATCCAGCTCATGTCTCTTTCCGCAATGGATGAATTAGTAAGATGATTTCAACTAGCCGTTAATTATAAGGCTTCTCTAAACATGATACAATGGCTTCTCCTCAAGAGAGAAATTTTAGAATCTCTGAGCTAGAAAAATTGCTCAGGGATTATCTAACAGTCTATTCTCCTTGTCTCCAGGGTAAACTGCCCCTACCCGTTAATGTAACTTATCTCAAAGGTCTTTTCCAGCTCTAAAATTATGACTTCATAGTTCTATCGACTAAATATTACTTCAAAAGGCGTAGAATGTATCTAGAAACCATTAAATTCCCAAACGGTAACAGAGTTCAGTTAGAAGTTACGCTGAAAGATCTGAGGTCAAGTGCTCAGTTCTGGTCAGAACAACAATTAACTGTGTTTACTATCCACGTCTGTGCACTGTACCGCCGGTGACTGATTCACTCCGGGCACACAGTAGGCCCCAATCCGGGACAGAAGCCTGCTGGTCAAGCACTCTATCCCAACACCGAGACGAGGCCCTCACTGACCGCTTTATCTCTTAGAAACAAAGCTGGGTAAAATACCTCAATCCGGCACCACCCCCAGATACCCGCTGCGACGGGGACGGCACAGTGATACAGAGCAGTGATGCAGGTGCGCAACGCACCTTGTTTTGCTCCCGGAGCCAGTCGGAGTTCGCGACACCAGCTCCCCCACAGCCCCAGGAGCGCCAGCCTCGCAGCCCCCCCCGGCTCCGATGCCTCCCCCCTCCGCTGCTCTCCGCGACCCCACTGCCCCAGCGGTCCGCCCCTACGTCCCTTGTTTCTAACCATGGGGCACTTACCATCCCAATACCAGGCCGGTGGTCACGATGAAGCAGGTAAAGACCACCGCGATGTAGAAAAGCGGCGAATACTCATACAGCGTTACCAGAAACACTGCAGCCATCAGGATGTCCTAAACTGAGCCGAGCTTCAGCCGCCCAGCCCAGCCCAGCCCACTCCGCCGGTGTCAAAGCCAGTACGGTGCCTCAGAGCTGACAAACTTCGTAGCTACGCACTCGCCAGGGGTTCTAAGGCTAGACGTCAGGGCAACCTCGCCGGCTGCGGGAGCCAGAGTGCCAATCACGACGTCGCCTGCAGGGCTCGCCCCGCCCCTCCTGCTCCAGGCCCGAGCTACTGGCTTCGCAGAGGGGCGGTGCCCAGACTGGACTCACGGGATTGGTAACCGGAGAGCGTCTGTGTGTCCTAGCGGTCAAGGCTTTTCTGCGGCAAATTCTAAATACGCATCGCGGCCGAATCTGTTCAAGGCTCAGGTAAGGTTTTTGATGACGCAGAGAGGAGGCACAGTCCGAAATTCACGTCACAGAGTCTAAATCCCGCATCTTGGATCCGCGGCAAATTTGAGAGGAGAAGAGCCGGCATCTTGGGTTCTACAAAGTGAAGTAACCTCACATCTGCTCTTGTTTTATCTAGAAAAGTTACAGTTAGACACTACGAAAGACCAAAAGGAGTCTTACAAGCAGTTTATACGAAACTTGTCGGCCTTTTCAAGTTGGATATAATGATAAAGGAAACTTAGCATTGCGTATCAAGATTCTCATAGAAGTAAATCAACTGTCCTCCCACATTCCCTTCTTTTTCTCCTCCCCCTACCTCCTTCAAATTAGAATTAGATATTTGAACTTTTTTGTATTAATTTTTACTTTAATAATAATTTTAAATATATATATGTATATATATATGCCTTTAAGAAAGGAGCGAAATGCTCATCCCCCTCTCCTCATCCGCATTCAGCCAGCCCCATCAAGGTAGCCTCCCTGGAAGTCCCTCACACCTCCACTGACAGCTCATCGGTTTGGGTTTAGCCTTGGCCACACGCAGTTACCACAGAGACAGGTAATTTAGTCTTTTATTCTGAGCAGCAAATCACTAGTAAAATTAATGTTGGAGAAAGATGAGCTAAATTTGTTCTGTGGCTTCACATATCTCTTGGCCAATGACCATGTGTTGTGTACTCTCTGGAGTAGTGCTGTGTAAGCAGCTTGGTTCAACAACATAATTTTTAATAACTACATATATGATTTGTGAAAGTATATAGTTTATTGTTGGATAATTTTTAAAATTATAAACAACACTGCAATGAACATTCTTAAAGCTAAATCATTTCCTTAGGTGAACTCCTAGAAGTGGAACTTTTAGTTTCAAAAAGTATGCACATTGTAAGCCTTTAGGGAAACAATGCTTCTCCAGAATTATTATACCGATTTATGCTCCCACCCTTTCATCCTCAGTTTTGTGATCATTTGATATTGTCACTTAAAAAGCTTGGCCAATGGGAAAGGCAGTTTTATTGCAATAAGCAATAAAGAGTTTTCATAACGAAAACAGGGAATTCCAAATTAAAGTGGCATATTAAACATATGCCTATAATTTTGCCCTCTCCCCAAACGCCACTAAAACTACAGTAAAGGGATGTAAAAAATAAAACAAAAAGAAGAAGAGGAAATAACATAACAGCAGCACATACTGGAAGATGGAAAACAGCTGAACAAGGATAATTCACTAACCAGCCCATGAAAGTCAAATCCCAAACCAGCAGTGGAGAAAACTGACTCAACTTGATTTACACTGAAGAATTCTCAAAAAGAACATGAACTAACACAAATTTAACTCAAGCCTTTATTTCCCATTTGGATATCTGCTACAACAATTCCAACTTGTCACTTTACTTCCAACATTGATTCTTTCTAACACATAATACACGATACACAGTGCAGGCAAAAATTATTTTTTAACAGGTATCCTTTATTTTCAAGCACGTTTTATTTCATTCCACGACCCCAAATCCTTGATTGCCATGCTATGTATCCTTGAGGATGAAGTCTTAAGTTCCTTGTTTGACATGCCCATCTCTACATGATCTGACTCCCACTTACCTCTTACTTACTCATTCACAAAATGTTTGTTTTGTGTCAGATATGTGCCAGACACTGTAGAAGCCATTAGGGATACAATAATAAGCCAAAAATGACGTATCTCTGTTCTCATGGAATTTATCATCTACTGGAAAAGATAAACATTAATCAAAGAATCTTGAACAAAATATAAAGGCAAAATTATAATAAGTGCTATTAAAAAGAGGTACATGGAGCTATGAGGGCATATAATGGGAGACTAGTGAAACATAAGGAAGATCAGGAAAATCTTCCCTGAAAAACAGATGAGTGAGCTGAGAGCTGATGGAGAGAGATTTACCAGGCAAAGGGACAGGAGGGGAGAAAGCATTTAGGACAGAAGCTCTAGCATGTGCAAAGGCCCTGAGGTGGGAGAAATCATAGCACACCTGAGAAAATGAAAAGCCAATATGACTAAAGCATGGAGAGTGAGGAAGAGCATGCTAGGGGGTGAAAAGGAGAGATAGGTAGGGCCCAGACCATACATGAGTCTTGCTATTTTAACTACTCAACTGTACCTTTAGAGCAATGAGAAGCCACTGATATGATTGAAGAAGGGGCATGTTATGGACTGAATTGTGTCCCCTCGAAATTAATATGCTGAAGTTTTAGTTCCCAATGTGACTGTATTTGGAGATGGAGCCTTTAAGGAAGTAATTAAGGTTAAGTGAAGTCATAAGGGTAGGATGCTAATTCAATAGGAATAGTGCCCTTATAAAAAAAGAGAGACACCAGAGATCACTTTCTCTGTGCAGGTGTATAGAGAGAAAAGTCCATGTGGGAACAGTGAGAAGGCAGCTGTCTGCAAATCAAGGAGAGAGTTCTTTCCAGAAAGCCTGCTGGCACCTTGATCTTGGACTTCTCACCTCAAGGACTGTGAGAAAATTAATTTCTTTTGCTTTAACCACTTGGTCTGTGGTATTATATTACGGTAGCCAGGCAGACTAATACAGGAAGTGACATTCTGTTTGCATTTTCAATCACTTAGGCTATTGTGTAGAGAACTTATTGGAAGGAGGCTGGGGTGGATATAAATGAATATGGGGATATCAATTAACAGATTCTTTAAAAAGTCCAGGCAAGAAGTATTGGTAACTCTGATTAGGATAGCGACGAGGACTTGCAGTGAAGTGGATTATTAGTCAGAAATTATTTCATTTGTAAGTAACAAAACTCAAAACAGTAAATCACTTGAGATAGAGATGTATTTCCCTTTCAGGCAAAAGTCTGGAGGTAGGTCAATGCAGGACTGATACGGTGCAGAGTGCAAGGGAACTAGGCTTCTATTTTGCTCCACCATGTGTAGCCCCCATTCCCAAGGTCGCCTCATGGTTCAAGATGCTTGTTGCAGCTCCAGCCATCATTTCCATATTCTTCCTAGCAGGAAAGAGGACAGAGAGGGAGAATGAGATGATACTTCAGTTTAAGGAAACTCTAAGGAGGCACCACTCATTCCATTGGCCACAACTCAGCCTCATGTTCACCTTTAACTGGAAGGAAGGTTGGAAAATACAGTCTTTGTTCAGGGCGGCCACCTCTGCTTTTGAATACTATTGCTCCTGTTCAATGTGGTACAGAGCCAAATGCAAATCCTCTCTCTCTTATTTTTTTTTTAAGGGAGAGAGAGGGAGGGAGGAGGGTAGAAGGGACAGAGGGAGAGGGAGAGAGAATCTTAAGCAGGCTCCACACCCCAGGGAGGAGCTGGACTCTATCTCACAACCTATCTCACAACCCTGAGATCAGGACCAGAGCCTAAATCAAGAGTCTGATGATTAACTGACTGGGCTCCCAGGCGCCCCTCCTTGCCTTCTTTGTTAAAGAGAAAGTGGACTACCAATTTCAGTCTTTTCAGCTTCTCCAATATCATACCTATTTGGATGCTTTACTCCAACCCCTTCCAGCACCCACCCCATTCCCGTTCTGAGACTGCAGTCTGGAGGGGAAGCCAGAACATCAGTATGGTATGGCCTGCTGTACTTAGTCAAGCCCCACCTTATTGCCACGCTCCAGCACACTGGAAGGGAAAGACTTCCCCTCCTTCCCACTTGACAGATACAGGCCTTCTGTCCTGGCCCCGGTTTCCCCTACCACATGGCATAGGCTAAATGCCATTTTTAATTTTGCCACGGTCTGGATTTTGAAATGTTGGTAGAGCTTTAAAATTTTATAAAACCTTTCTTGGTAGTGTCTGGCTTTTTCTAGATTTACTGTGTTTCTGGGGATTCAAAAATCCTATTTTGGTAGCCAAAAGCTGCTTGCTTTCTTCGGCATTCCTAACATCACAGTTCTATTTATTCTTTGAGGCTTATACATGCTTCTGACTGACCAAGGAGAAGGTCTCATAAGAGAAATGCAAGCAAATATTAACGTGTTTTTAAAAATTATTATCTGCATTGCATAATTTTCTTGGTGCTGTTAACCCTTTCATTTTATATGGTCTTTCTATAGCCTATATTATTTCTTGGAAGGGCAAATTTATGTCTATTGTGAAGATACCAGTAGAAACATAATAAGCATCATAACTCTGAGTTTCAAACTTTGAGACAACTATTGCCCAACAGAACTGAATGAGTGTGCAATTGGGTATAATCCCATAGATGACAGGAATTGTGAAAAATCTTGTATGTGGTACCTTGGCAGAACCTGACTCCTAGTAGCCCACTGAACTTCCAAGTCCCTCTAGTAAAAACCTCTCATGGTCTTAGCTGTTGGACTTCTGTCATCTATATATACTATGTGACAGGAGGCTACCTGAAGCTCACTCCAACTGAACTGACACCGATGACTTATGTGATACATGGTCTGTGGCCCAAAGCTTAGGACATTCATCTAGGACAGTGGTTCTCAACTGGGGTTGCTTTCCCACCTCTGTGCCCTGGCAACATTTTACAATGTCTGGACACATTTTGGTTCCCAGTGGGGGAGGTTCTACCAGCCTCTAGTATAATCCCCCCTGCCCCACCCCCGAAGCCCTGCATGGCATTTGGTATTCTGCTAAACACCCTACAATGCACAGCACAGTGCACCCACAACAAAGAATTATTTAACTCCAAATGTCAGTATTGCTAAATTGAGAAACTCTGATACAGAAAATTCTTTTGGTTC